CGTAGGTCAGATGCAGCATTGTCAGCTAGAATCGCATGATTTGTCCGTGCGTTTTGCCGTGCGTGGGCGTCCGTCCGTCCGCCCTGCGTCGTGGCGTTCCGTCTCAAACAGTTGGCACAAATCTAAACGGCTTGACGTACGATTCGAAAGTCGGGATCGTAGGCGGGGTAATCCGAAACACGAGTTGGAATGTCGAGCTGGGGTCAAAGGTCAAGGCGGGTCAAGAGGTCGTTAAAAAAAGGGGAACATTCCCTCCCCAACTTAAGGTATAGGAGGAAATGCAGAAATTGCGGCACAAATCTAAACGGCTCGACCTAGGTTCGTGATAGTCGGTGTATAGCATCATGGTAGGAAAAGCCATCACTGCTGCCGAAATTGGAGGTCACAGGTCAAAGGTCAATGGGGCACAGGACAGATTATTAGACATTTTCTGAGGACATGGTCTGACCGAGCGATTGAAAAACTTTTGTTTAAGCCGCGTGACCTACATTTTTAGGCTTTATTGAAAGGACATGAAAGTACTTTTCGCTAACATGCGAAGAGTAAGGTCGGACCTTTTGACCCTCAAGAGGAGGCGTAAACAAAGATTCCTGAACTGCCTCAATGATGTCACAGTGTTCTTATATTCGTGCACATCCATAATCTAGAAAGCCAATATCTCTCTGGAAAGCCCAACGGTACAGCCACGGATTACGGCCGAGATCGAGTCCATTCAGATTTTTTATTATTTACCTGTTTTCTGCTATTTTCTATCTTTATCCATTTAACAATTTTTTTCCAATTAATGCAAATATTTACATGATTTTATTACAACAAATTAATAACAACAAAAATTTTTACACAATAAAAAAAAAGTTAGGGGGTCACAATGACCACTAAAACAGGAGTTTCAGGCACGGATTTGCATCAACCAATGGATTTGGGAGGTATACAGAATGCTAGGAAGCGTGCTGAATGATATGTACGCAACTGCGTATTCGCATTCTGCACCTAACAAAGTGTCACTCACGCACGATAAATGTTACGTTATAACCGTACAACAGCCTCAGATGAGCCAGATCTCTGCGCGTCTTGTTAGTATTAGTTATCCTCGGTTTTCAGTTGCAGGTTATCCGTTCGAAAGAATAGGAATCCGTTCGCGTCATTTTTTACTACGTGTGAATGTTTCTACTTGCACACAGTTCAAACACCTGTGGTGATTCAGCGAAGCACAAGCGACCAACGCTGTGTGAAATTATGTATTATTCGAACGTTGGACATAGCTATCAGCTCTCACTCACTATTCCTCTGTCTGTCAGATCTCACTTACTGATTCTCTGTCAGATCTCACTCACTGATCCTCTGTCAGCTCTCACTCACTTTCCTCTGTCATTCTCACTCGCTCTTCCTCTGTCAGCTCTCACTCACTCTTCCTCTGTTAGCTCTCACTCACTCGCTCCTCTGTTAGCTCTCACTAACTCGTCCTCTGTCAGCTTCTCACTTACTGATGCCTAATAGATTTCACTCACTGATCCCAATAGATTTCACTCACTGATCCTAATAGATTTCACTCACTGATCCTACTAGCTCTCACTCACTGATCCTACTAGCTCTCCCTCACTGATCCTACTAGCTCTCACTCACCTGATCCTACTAGCTCTCACGTTTCGTGTCACAACTACACGCGGGCCATCTATCAATATTGAATCTTCCCTCAGTTGAAGGACGATGACGCGGAGACGCACGACCCGATGACAAGCAGTTCTTTATGATAACGCGTCGGTGGCGCGCGCGCCGCTAACTTCATAAACCTGCGCGAGATCAGCAATCGCTTCAAGCCTGCCGCCCGGCCACTATACGTCATCCCGTCGACTTCGAGCCGAACGAGCTCGGCGAATTCGTCGTGCGCATCTTCTCCGAGCAGCCGATCGACGACGAGTAAGTGGGAGAGAGAAAGTGTGTGTGTGGTGTGTGTGTGTGTGTGTGTGGTGTGTGTGTGTGTGAGAGAGAGTTAGGTAGAGAGAGAGAGAGAGAGAGAGAGAGAAGAGAGAGAGAAGAGAGAGGAGAGAGAGAGAGAGAGGAGCCTAGAGAGATGAGAGAGAGAGAGAGAGAGAGAGAGAGGGAGAGGGAGAGAGAGACAGAGTGTGGTGTGTGAAGAGTTGTGTGTGTGTGCTGTGTGTGTGGTGTGTGTGTGTGTGTGTGGTGTGTGTGTGTGTGTGTGTGTGTGTGTGTGTGTGGGTGTATGTGTGTGTGTGGTGTTGTGTGTGTGTGGGTGTGTGGTGGTGTGTGATAGTGTGTTGTGGTGTGATGTGTGGTTGGTGTGTGCGCGTGCTGTGTGTGTGTAATGTCGTGTGTGTGTCAATGAGTGAGGTGAGCGTAGCTGAGACGAGAGAGAGAGGAGGAGAGAGAGAGGGGGGGGGTGAGTGAGAGATGATCAATCGATAACAAGTAAGTGATCAATGATAGATCGATGACGAGTATGTGAGAGAGTTGAAGGGAGAATTGGCTATCTGAACTGGTAGCGGAGGACGAGCGAGTGAGGTCTGACAGAGGAAAAGCGAGTGAGATCTGACAGAGGAAGAGTGAGTGAAAGCTGAAAGAGAAAACGTGAGTGAGAACTGACAGGGGAAGAGTAAGTGAGAGCTAGCAGAGGAAGAGTGAGTGAGAGCTGGCAGAGAAGGAGTGAGTGAGAACTGGCAGCGGGAGAGTGAGTGAGAGCTAGCAGATGAAAATTGAGTGAGAGCTGACAGAGGATCAGTGAGTGAGAGCTGGTAGAGGGAGAGCGAGTGAAAGCTAGCCGTACAGTGAGAACTATCAAGAACACTGGCTCAACTAACAATTTGCGCGTATGTGTGGTTATGCTAAAGTGCTCGTTTTGTCGGCTGAGCGTATATAAACTGGTTACACAACGAGCAGAAAGTTGGACACTGGTGCGTGATTTTTCTGCTGATACCGTTGACCACATGTATATTGAAGTTCCGGTCGGTTGTTTGACACCTAATTTGATGTCAACATATGTATTTCTATATTGCAGGTATTTTTATATCAAATTATTATTTTCTATATTAAAATAGGTATTTCTATATTGCAGGGAGCTTGATGAGGAGACTGGTATCGATGAAACCATCCAGGTAACCTTCGTGTGGTTTTGCACTGTGCACTAATAGTTCCTGCTATTTACAAAAATAATTGTGGCGAGTAATTACAATTACATGAATCATTATAATCATAATGAATTGAATGAAAGAGTTTCTCGTGTTTTATTCGAAAATCAATGTTGTCTTGTATTCAATTTCGAGCAACATTAATTTTCCCAGTCAACAAAACTTTAATTTTCCCTCGCATCCAGATAACTGTAATGATAATTAAAGACATAATCCCTTTTCAGTTTTGGTTATACGTTCGTTTTAATTAGATTATAATTTTATGTTTCTACATTTCACATAAATACAAATTTTACATTAATAATTCAACATTAATATATATCATTTTATGCGATTGTGTCATGATTGTAAACATTTCGATACTGATTAAATCTAATGCTGTGTTTGTGTTGCCACTGATAACTAACATATGCATTAATGTAGTGTCGAAAGCATTATTTATATTTAGTGCAATTTCATCAATAATTTTCATTTAATGTTACTAACTTGACAGGGTATGTTGAAGCATCGTAGTAATAACGCTGCTATAATATGTAAAACAATTGCTCGCATATTCGATTATCTACAGGAATTGATATAATCGATAGAGTTGGTATGACAGCTACATCTTGGCTATGTATGATGCTACAGTGCTGTTTTATCAGTGTTGATCTGCGTATCGCATCCGCTTCATGCATTGCCTCTTTTCTCTTTTTTCACTCTTTATCTCGTGCTGCTATTCGTGCATGATTCATGCTATCAATGCATATGCCGCGATGGCTGTTACTCTGCTGCAATGATGGGCTCTGCCGCCCACTTCAATAGGCTAAGCAGGTAAGCGATCTCGCTCTGTAGTCACGCGTGTTGGTGCGTCGCTTGTGACGCCGCGCTGCTGCCAAATGAAAACAACATTGGCTCTGTTCCAGAGAACTGAATTTCTGGTGCGCGATTGATCAATCTCGATGTTATTTCTCATTTCATGATGTCGGTACTCACAATCAGTTTTTTTAGTCGATTCGGTGCAAAATCGGTTGGATATAGCCGGTCGCTTTTGCACTATCTCATGCTTTACGCGATCTGGTTCTAGCGGCAGTATTTAGTATTTTAGCTTTAACAAAAACACGTTTTAATTGAAAAACAAAAAAATATGTTGTTGTATCGCCTGGAGAACCATTTTAATTATAAGAGTTTTATGAGAGAATGATAGAAAATACGAATTTAAAATGGCATGGAAATGTACTTTATTGAAGCCGTGCTTTGTACGATTCTCTCTATTTTTGTACTATTGTAAGCTGTTGTCTTTTGGGCGCTGTTAATGTCTGTGCAGATAATTGTTGTTTCATGTTGGTTCGTGTATGTATATGTATATTTTGTCTTGATTATTGTTGTCTATGTCCTGGTTATACTCAGACAGTATGATACTTGATTTTTCAGTGATTGCCACGGTGAAACCGAGGTCAATGTAAAACAGCTATATATTTAAGTAAACTATACGGGTCCAAATGCAGTATAGACACCTGTTTTACGTAGCACATATACTAAATTTATCGTGTGTAATATCAGGAGTAGATAATAGGGACCCCCCCCCTATTATCCCCCCCTCCCTATTATCTACTCCTGGTAATATATATATAGCTTTGCGATTATTTCTGACCGAATTTCTCACTTCAAGAAATAACAAACAGTCGCGTTCATTCGCGTTTCTCATCAGAAATCACTGTCAAACGGTCCCGTAATAATAGTAAATTTCTCACCCAATGAAATAACAAAGCTGTCGCGTTCATGCGCGTTTCTCATCAGAAAACGCTCCCGTAATGACAGTGTAGCGCTATTTTGCAACCGAGCACGCGGCGTTCGCTACATGCCTGCATGCTAGCGCCGCCATGCACCGCCATCACTATTTCTTTCCGAGAGTTTCACGCGTTCTGCCCCGCAGCCTCCCGCACAGGGCGACAGCAAGGAACAGGAAACCGCCATCAAGCAAATGTTCGCGCGCGTCTCTGGCGACGACCTTGAAGTCGACTACGCCGAGCTGCAGAGCGTGCTCAGCGCCGTCGTCATGAAAGGTGAGCCGGCGCCGTCTCGTGTTTTACTGAAACCCCGTGTTTCTCTCGCTAAAGGTGAGGGCCGTGCACGCTGCCGCGCCGGCGCAGGCGTCCGCTGCTTCCAGGGAGCCCGAGGCGAACGAGTTTTTCCGCAGGATCGCCGGAGATGACATGGAGGTGGATCAGCACGAGCTGCAGGCCGTGCTAAACCACGTGCTGAAGAAGGGTACTCGATCCTCTCCCCTCGCTCGCTCGCAGGGCGGGCTGTTTGCAGTGCCTCTCACCACTACCACTACTACTACCACTACTACTATAGGCCTACCTGCTACTACTACCTCTCATAGCTGCGACTTTTTCTGACCCTTTGCAGTTTATCGCTCGACGGTTGCGTTCGCGACCGCATTGGACTAACGCGACAACTAGGGAAATAGATCCGCATATAGGAAACAATAGCTCTACCTATGTAACCCTCGCTCCTGTACCGGAGCGAAGGGTTACATGGATGTAGCCTTATTGAAACAGAAGCACGCATCGACGTGCGCCATTCTCGGTTGAAGTAACTAATATAAATATAATAATAATGAAATTACAATGTAATAATAATAAAAAAATTAAAAAAATATATGCTCAACTAATATTGGAGTTGACGCTGAGTTTGGATTCGATGGAAAGTCATTATATACGTGATAAACAGATCTAAATAGATCATTCAGATCGATGTTTCAAATCAGCAAAGATGGCTGGCATAATGTTGCCTAGACGTGGATCTACTTCCGCGTTGTCTCTAATATTAACAAAGCATTTCTTCTATTTCAGGTTTTATAATATAACAACTGACATTTTTGCAGTTTTCCTAGAACTCCGTTGTTGTGAAAGCGTTTCATAACAGACTGTCTTAGTTTAATTAGTTCATATGCCTGTCGGTATAATCAAATAGCATAACCACTCGTTAGAAGTTTTACATAGAAAAGGTGATGATTAGGAGCTAGTACTGACCATAGACACAGCTTAAATCACTCCTTCCTCAAACGCCCTGTCACTATAATTCACAGGAACCTTTAAATCATCGAATATATGACATGATGCTACCGTCGTATAGAACTTTATTTTGTTTGCCTGTCTAAACGATCGCCTCATGTTTGTGCCTTCACAGGAGATTTCACATGGAAAATCTGTGTCCAATCGTGTGTGCCACATATACTTTTATTTCCCAGCTATTCTCTTCAATTCCCAACCATGCGGTCTTTATTTTGCATGTCTATTATACCTGTTTGCGATGTTAATAAGTCATCTGTGGTTATCCTGCATGATGCGTACATCGATTTACTTCTATATTTTACAGAAGCTTTACGACAATTCTATGCTGTATTATATTGCTATTAGTTGCTGATAGAATTATGACTGGGAAACCACAAAGCTATCCGATTCTGCTGCTGCAACCGTGTGCTTTAACATATTAGCTTTAACATTATTTACAGCGATGATGCATGGTGTGTGTGTGTGTGTGTGTGCTTGACTGATTCTGCATGGTGATAATCGGCATGCGAGCTAGGATCGACTAGTTCACCAATATTCATTGTTGCTTTAGCGTTCATAGCTTTATTATATTTATTATTTGCGCTCATTTGTTTATATCTGTTGCTTGTATGTCGAAATACATCTGATAAATGTCTAGAATCGGATTCACCGTCTCGATCGTCGTTCTTTATTATTTTTATTGACGCGTTTATTTTCCGCGCAATCTATGTCGCAATATGGTACTGTGCTTTCACAACGCTACCCGCGTTTGTAATGTGGAATTGTGCATCGTAACTCTTACGCTATGTTGTAGCGGATGGATGCCTTCTTATTGCATTTCTCCACGTGTTTTCCATGCGTATACCCGTATGTGTTGTTTAAAGCTATACTTGTTGGGCCCGATTTCACCTGCGCTCGCCAGTTTCCAAACACAGTTTGGTTAGCAGCATGCCTGCCTCACATAGCAGTGTTGCTGCTTGTCATCCCTGAGTGTACACTTCCCCTACACTTCCAGCTCGACGCTTATACTCTCCCTTTACTACGCAAAGGTGAAGTGTCTGACACACTGAAAAAACTTATTCATGCCTTCATTTCTCCTTCCTATCATGCATTAGAATAGCTTTTACGGACAACGGTTAGGTTCTGTCGTGGGTGAGTATATATATGTATGTTATCCGTACGTGTATAGGTACGTAAGCGTGGCGTCCGAGTGGTTGATATGCGAATGTTCAGTCAACATCAGGCAAGTAAATATTTAGGTTCTTGCTCGTTTCGCGATAATCACATGTATACAATTATAATCAAATAATGATATGTTATTCAATATTCGTCCCTCACAGAGTTCAACTTTGAAGGATTCAGTCTGGAGTGTTGCAGAAGCATGGTTGCCATGATGGATGTATCCTTCATTTTTTAATTTAATTTAATTAAGTTTTCATATTAATTGCTATAATTATTCATATACAATTAGTTTGTGAAATACCACGAGGCGCTCTTTGAGATTTCATAGTAACGAACTGTTCTACTATTTGTATGCTACTTGCCACACTATTACTTTGTGTGTTATTTTTCTCATTCATATGTGATTATAAATACATGTAGGGCCTACATAATAAAAATAAAAATACTGGAACAGTAATGAGTTGATATTTGCCCTGAACCCAGTTCTCAGGATGATAGGTCTGGTAAGCTTGGTCTAGATGAATTCAGAGAGCTCTGGCAGAACATAAGGTGGTGGAAGGTGAGTCCTATTCATGCATATTAACAGAATCTGTCCTGTTGGGCTTCATCAAATAAAATAATAAATGTTGGCAGTCAAACTAATTATAACTTTTATGCCACAGGAACTTCGTACAAACCGCCATTCTATGCTCACATTATTTCAACATAATATTTGGTTTATATTTTTTAATAGTAAAACATTAAGAAGAAAGATATGTTTTTACGAAGATCGCGCGGCTCGCTTGCCATATGTATTGGTCATACGATCAGGAGTGTCATAATATAGACACATATGTAATATTGACGCACATGTCTATATAATGACACTTCTCATACGGTGCATTAACAAGCCAGTACATCACCTGAAATCGGAGAGTTAATGATTATTTGCTCTTGTGACAGAACGTGTTCAGAGACTACGACAAAGACAAGTCAGGAAACTTGAACACTTTTGAACTGAGGCAGGCGCTCCACTCTGCTGGTCAGTCAACTGCACATTTTGCGCAATAAAGTTAATTTTAAATTTTGTTTTTTTAAATAAAAAAAACTTAAAACACGTGCGTCGCTTAAAATCACACGAATTCATCGATTTCCTGACCCCCACTAATTGCATGGGAAAGTTGAGTAGACTCGATTTGAATAAAACTGATAATAAGTCAGCTCAGAATTTAGAGTAAACTTTCGTTACATAGTGTCAGCTGAGCGGCTCTCATGACGCACGCAATCTACATACGACAATTAAGAAGTCAGTTAAGAATCTACAAACAGTCAAACTATACTCTAGACCCTCGAGAATTACGAATAAAGCAGTAAAGATTTCTGTGAGGAATACAATAAGGCAATTTTATCGTTGACTTTTCACGAGCCGAATTGTAATGACAGCGTCTTGATGTCTACCAGGTTACCGCCTTAGCACAATGGTTCTGAAAGTGTTGGTGCTTCGCTATGGCAACAAGAGCAACTCGATGAACTTTGATGAGTTTGTCATGTGTGCTGTCAAGCTGAAGAGCATGATTGGTGAGTCTGCGTGATGGCGTGGGGAGGTGGACACAAAATGGCTGATTACTAGAACTCTAGCAGAGAAGGGGCCACGTCATGACTAATACTCCATAGCGAAAGCAGCTCCACTGGCTATAGCAGTGGTTCTTAACCTTTTTTAAGTCATTGACCCCTTTGAGAATCTGGTGAAAGCTACAGACTTCTCCCCAGAAAAATGCACATAAGCACATAAACACAAAATTTTGCATACAATGGGTTTCACGGACCCCCTGAAGCCCATCCACGGATCGCAAAAAGGTCCACGGACCACAGGTTAGGAACCACTGGACTATAGTGAGTATAGTGCAGTAAGACACATCATAATTGGTGGCGGGGGAGGGAGCGGGGCACAAAGCATGATATGTTAATAACACTCCCCCTGTCCCTTGTAAGTAGGGTGGTGTGGCACAACATGATTGGCGTATGATTGCGCAGTAGGTGGGAGGAAGTATATATAGCATGATCAGCGAACTATACTCCATGGAGGGGGGAGCAGGATGATAGATGAGTAACCCAGGCTCGTGAGGAAGGCAAAAGCACGATCAGTGAATAACACTCTCTAGATGGGGGGGGGGTGGCACACGGAGAGAGTAACGTACTGCCTAGGGGGTGGTAGGGAGGAAGCATGAATCACTGAAAACACTCTGTTCAGGCCCCTTCAGCGGGAAACAACTTGACCAGTGGGAAATTCCCTGGCAGGGGAAAATCAAGAAACATCCCGTAATTGCTTGGTGGGGGAAGCCGGAAGCAACATCGAACATCGACGCTAGCTAGCTGCCATATTAAACGTTTAATGATTTTCTAGTTTAATCACTTTCATGTCACAACTCAACAAACGCGAGTCATGTGTAATTTACCATTGTTTTACAGAAAAGTTCCAGAAGCTGCAGATGTCAGAGATCGATATGAACGATGTAAGTATTTATCACGTTCACAGAGCAATCATAGCCACGTATAGTAATGAGGAGGCGGTAGTAAGGGCGGCGCTGGTGGCGGCGGCAATGGCGGTGGCGACGGAGGTGCTGACGGCAATGGCGGTGGCGGCTGCGGTGCCAGCGGAGACGGCAATGGCGGCGGCAGTGGCGGTGGCGGCAGAGGTGGTGACGGTAATGGCGGTGGCGACTGGGGTGCCAGCGGAGACGGCAATGGCAGTGGCGGCGGCAGTGGTGGTGGCGGCGGAGGTGGTGACGGCAATGGCGGTGGCGGCTGCGGTGCCAGCGGAGACGGCCATGGCGGTCGCGGCGGCAGTGGTGGTGGCGGCAGAAGCGGTGACGGCAATGGCGGTGGTGGTGACGGCAATGGCGGCGGCGGTGGCGGCGGAGGTGGTGACTGCAATGGCGCTAGTGGTGGGTGACGACCTGCTGCAGCGACAGCAGCAGCCATAGCAGCCGAAAGCAATATTAGCTGTAAGAAGTTATGTTCATTAAGTATAGAGCGACCTCGGCATCGATATCATGCCTGAGTTACAACTTTGTTTTCTTGCAGTGGGTGGAGCTGACCATGTACACGTAAATTATGCGAGCAGTGTTGGCGTGGACAGGTCATTAGCGGGACCCTGACTATACGCAAAAATCCACACAAAGTATAATGGCAAGGAACAACATCATCAGGTTCTATGTATGTGTTTTCTAATATTAAATGTTAAATATGTAATCAACGAAAGGGCCTTAGAACAGTGTCGTTCATACGGACATAATATGTCGGTATTATCGGCTACTTTTGTGTGCTTGTGCGAATAAGAATAAGTGCATTATAATCGCGTACGTGCTTCCATGACTCGCGTGTAGATGGGGGTAGAATACCTGTGTCTTGTAGCTAAATTGCCTCGCTTAATTAAGCAAGTGCATTGATTAGAACGTCGGGTTACTTCTATGCTTATACTAGTGCTTATAGCTAGTAAAGTGTTTTATATGCTTCATATTCCACTGTTAGACGGTTCCCAAGCATGCCACTAAACTGGCTATACGTATCTGTTCCTTTTCAGTTGTAACTCAATGTTATTTGTATAGGTTTCCTTTTGCAATTATTTATTTATTATACTGTTTGGGATATAGCGTTAGTAAGCATATGCTGATTAAAAATTAAAGGGAGATCATTCCTTAAAGTTTTACGTTATAATTGTCACGTTTTTTTTAAGGATAAAAATAGCTACATCGATTTATTTGTGGCATAGACCATGTGGTTGAACACATAGCATTGCTTTATTTGCAGTATTGCTGAAAAATACATACTATTAAAGTAATTAGCAACATTATTATTTTAATAACTTGTACCTATAACATTAAGTCCTAAGTATAGAGCAAATGTTCCTAAGCCAAATACCGCATTATGTGCCATTACGGTTTAACGTAGCGTTGAAGAAATATGCAAATTTCTATATATATCGCAGTGGGAACAGTATATAACAAGAACGTATTACAAATAATTATGTAGTTGTGTGATGTGATTTAAGGTCGAGTATTATATGTCAAATTTCTGTGTATCAACATAAAACAAAAAAATTCACCACTATTTTCCTATTACTCAAAGCATGCATGAATCCGTATTTATTGAAGTATATACCGCCTATACCTTTTTACAAATAATTGGAATGGAAATTAATAGACAATATAAAAAGAATTAGATATTACCGATCAATTTATTGTTACTTCGATATGATAACCTTAGGATAGAGGATCGTAGACTAATTCTGATGACTGGAACCAAAACTGGATAAAGTCCGTCCATATGATTATAACATAATTATGTCGAAAAATGAAACCAGATTACTTTGAACAAACATTTAAAGCTTTACTACTGTTGTTTTTCTGTGCTAAACAACGATTGTGTACCTACAATTAATACTAATACTGTATGTAATACAATTTTCTGCGGTTATTCATGCAATAAAATTATTATAATGCTAGTTATTGTAGTTTAAGTATTCGTTATGTCTCTATAGTGTGCAAACAAATAGTGTTCAGTGCCTTCATTTCCTAAAGTGATGTTTGATAAAGTAATGTATCAGTTGTCTCACACAGTGTTTACATGTAGCGCAGCATTATGGTTAACGTATTGAACTATTTTGACACAAAACGTAGTCTTGTAATAATTAACTCTATCAAAATAAAAATGTTTGGTACTGGAACATTTAAATATAGTTTTCTTTGGTTTGCGTTTGCCATTATTTGCCAAGATTTCAGACAACACGTGTACAGATTTGCTTCTCTGTTACGGAGCCCAAGTATTGCGTTATTAACGACAATTCTTCGTGTATCTCGCCGAGCGATATGTTAAACTTCCTTAACGCGTGCGTGCGTGTGTGTGTGCGCGCGCGTGTGTGTGTATGCAGGGGCGGATCCAGGACTTTTGAAAAAGGGTGTCCAGGAAGAAATAAAGGGCACTTTTTTCTGCTTTATTTTTTTTGGTGTTTTAAAAAGCTGCCGAAGGCCACTTAGGGGGGGTTTGGGGGGTAGACCTCCCCCAAGATTTTTTTTAAAAATTGGTGCATTCTGAGAGCATCTAATTATGATGTCTAGAATGCAAAAATTTATCAGATCCGGTCCTCCGGACACCTGCGGTCCCCTCTTTGCCCATTTTTAGGTTTTTATAACGAATTTTCATATATATAAGTAAATCTTTATCAGAAAAACTAGCGCTAAACAAGATTTTTTTATGGAGACAATGTAAGAGAAGTGTGTGTGTGTGTGTGTGTGTGTGTGTGTGTGTGTGTGTGTGTGTGTGTGTGTGTGTGTGTGTGTGTGTGTGTGTGTGTGTGCCGTAGCGCTTGCCGTGTTGTATGCTTTTTTCCTTTTTTTGTGGTAAAAGGGGGGGGGGGTCCGGACCCCCTCGACCCCCCCTCTAAATCCGCCTTTGGTATGCGTGCGTGTATGTTAATATCAGGAGTCTATCAATAGAGCTATTGATGGACTCCTGTTAATATTATACAGCTCTGTTGTCAAACTGCATGCAGTGCCCCTTCCCACACTCAGGATAATAGTAGAATTGAGCCAGAGCGAGAGCGCCATCTGCTGTGGAGTTTGCTCTGTTGTGTACACCTGGTGGCGCCACTTTACTATCAGCGATTATTATGTGCTTTTCCTAATTACAGTGGGAACGTGATTAGGAATTTGCACCATTTATATAGGAGACAATAGTTTGAGTAGACAAATTAACAGTGAGAAAATAATATATCAACAATAGCTAGTAATCTTAGTTCCTAATTCAGATTGGATACAATGATTTCCCCTGAAAGACACATTTTGATACATATAGCTTATGTGCTCTTGATTCTATGCTTTCCCGTATTAATCAAAGCCATGGCAGCGAAGCAGATAGTATGAACATTGATTATAATGTATAACCAGCGCTACTATATATCTATATATCGACAAATACGTCAGCATCACGTCTGGGAGATTGGGCACGTGCGCGCAGAGCCTTAGATAGAGAGTTCTCTATAGAGTGAGACCGTGGACTCTATACATCTAAAGCTCTGCGCGCGCGTATAATGGCGCCACCTTTCGGGAGGAATTCGCTGCAATGTGTGATAATTTTACGGTGAGTAATCACACAACTGCTTACTTTCGTCATTAAATTTAAATAAACATAACCTACCTAGTATCGCAGATAAAGGTTATTGTCACGACAATTTTATTTATACGTATTAATGTGTATATGTGATACTATGTGATTATACTATATCATGTAGTATAATGTTCTTACTCCTTTACCAAGCATCTACCATTTCGACATCCGTATTTTCACCTGAGCGTAATCCGGGTACTTTACAATGTTTATACGCCGTTGATGTAGATGTTCGTTTACATATTGAGTCAGGTATGATGGATCACTATTTATATTTAAGTGTATATGAGTAATAGGTGCTCGCTTGTTAAATATTACGATTTAAATATATCTCAACCTCATATGATAACATTAATCTATTGTTTCATCAAATTTGCAGAAATAACACGCCGAATGAATGGCAGGTACGGTTGCCAAGTTCCCCGTTGTGGGAGATGTACACGGTGTCCACAACCGTACACAACTTGCAAACAGTGATTCAAGGAATGTAACTACTGGCAATCAGGCAGCCACTATAGTGAGCATCGTTAGTATGGAAGAAAGCGTAGTGATACAACAGCTTCGAGAACAAAAACTGTACAGCCGACTTGACATTATCCAGTGGTTACGAAATGATTTGAGAAAGAATGGTGGCCGGCTGCTCTTTAAAGAGAAACGAGCATTATTTCAAAGTCTAGTTTACACGTTAATAGATACTAACTGGGAAGTTAAAAATAATGCTGTGATACTAATTAGTGAGTTCATTCCACAATTCGGCCATGAGTTGGATAACTGCATGACAGTGATCTTCCCGAAACTACTAATGAACATCTCTCATCCCAAAGTGCGTAGATCTGTCATTCAAACTGTACACGTCTATATGAAATACTCTAGTGATTTGGAGTCTGTCTTTCGTGGTCTGGTGAAGTATGGCCTAGAGAGTGAAGATCCTGCTGTCCGACGGGAGATCACGATTGGCTTGCCATTGCTTTTTACGCCTGAGTTTGCTAATGAAGATTTGCATTTGCTAACCGAAGCACTGGTTATTCGCTTACACGACTCTGCAGGCGATGAAACGGCTCAACAACCCATTCTTGTATCACTGGAAAAAATACAAGAATTAGTTAGTGAAAAAAGGTTCAATGAATTCTTAAAGAAGCTACCGGATCAACATCTGACTTACTACTGCAGAATCACCAACTGTGACTTTGAGGAATTTGCAACGAAGATTGGTAGAAGTACAAATCCGGATATTATCAAGATTCGTGGCCGTAGTAACAGTCTTAGTCAACAGAACAATGTACAATTTGGCTTTGTGCCAAACCATGTGATGGACAAGCTTTCTGATGAGTCAGATTGGAAGGCTCGTATACAAGGTGTAGAGGAATTAAAGAACATCTTAAAGCAGTTAGAAAACACAAATTCACTAGTTAGTAACTTATACAACTTTATCAATTTCTTGCAAGCTTTACTCGATGATGTGAACTTCAAGGTTCTATCAACAACTCTAGAGATTCTTGAGCTGTTGGTGATAAAGCTCAAGGTTGCTGTGAAACCAGTCCTAAAGCCAATAGTGGGGGCTTTGTCTAAGCATATAGGGGAAAACAAGACAATGCTAAAGCAAGAGAACATGCGAGTTATTATGAGGCTGATGCAGACACTCTCGCCAAAATCCGTGCTTACTGTGATATGTGATCAAAATCTAATGAACAAGAATTCCAACGTCAGACAGGAGACGTTGAATATCGTAATTGCGTCCCTGCTGACGTTTCCAAGCTACGAGTTTGATCTTGCATGGCTATGCAGAACACTTGCTCCAACACTTCTAGATTCGAAGCGAAAAGTGCGGCATGCATCCTTGGAATGTTTTGCGACCATCGGGCAGGCGATGGGTATGAATAAAATGCAACCTCTTATTCAGGCTGTAGATAGTCTTGAGCTACAGTACGATGCAGAGGGTATAATGTCGGCCGTTCAAGCGAGATTAGCGCGCAGGATGTTGCCGCGGCTCACCGCCGATCAGTGCATCGAGTATTCGCTCCAGTTGCACCCCACGTCTGCTTCTCTGCGCGACCGAGGCATGCGGTTTGGCGCCGACATCGACTGGATCATGGCGGGGTCGGGCGGTGGCTCGGCCAGAGCCCACGCCGTCTGTCAGGACACTGGCTCCGAAAGCCCGAGCGACACTTCGTCGAACTCGAGTCTGAGGGTGATTGGTATTGATGCCATCCAAAAGGTGGATAGCCCAGGTAGCAACCAGTCACGTTTCAGAAGTGCGGGAAAGCGTAACAAGTTACCGTGGGACGAAGTTGGACAGCTGGATGGAACGTTTTCTTCTGATGCACATCAGGTGAGTGAAAACTGACGGATACATATAATTTCTATTATCCTACTTGTCCCTGTCAGTGCATCCCTACAAGATTCTCCTATACATCGTCTTAGGATACTATTCCCAGGATTTCTTACACACACATATATATATGCAGAGAATAAAATTAGATGTATTTACACCATACAAGTGGTACCTTCTATTAGTATGTACCCATTATACCCCTTATGTTCTATAAATTTATATATAGTCTGTTCCATATATTAAGCTATATATATATATAAATTAAAATATTCTGCAGTATACGATAACTTCGCACACTATCACCGTTACTTAAAGTACATCATGATATTATAGTGTCACTATTACCATAGGTAAAGTCTGCCTGCAATAATTCACTTTACCATGCAACATTATATATAACACAGTAGGCCCTAAGTGTTGGTCTCACTTATGTTGTTACGATTGTTATTTATGCAATATGGTACGTTACGTTACTTTATGTTATGTTTACTTCATGTTTGTTATGCTCACCATTGCATTTTAGACATCTCTCAACATCGTACAATTACTTTCTTTCCTAATCCCACTCTTTCATGCAATGCTAATAAATTCCCTCCCATGAAAATTTGGCTACTGTTGTAATTTTTAACGGTATGTGGGTTGTAATATGAATGATGTAATTTATGTTGTAACAGTACTATGTGTGTTATAAGGGTATACGACAGCGTAAAACCTCATTGCTCTACTAGTACTACTCTATGTATTTCACTTACTATTTTTTATTTACACTCACCCAATTATATTTTTCGTCAATACAACATTCTAAAAATAATACGAAAATGTAAAACAAATGATTATCATGATTAAATGTATCACGTATATATGAAGGGGATGTGTGTGTGTGTGGGGGTGTGTGTGTGTGTGTGTGCGTGCGTGCGTGTGTGTGTGCGTGTGTGTGTGTGTGTGTACGTGTGTGTGTGTATGTGTACGTGTACGTGTGTGTGTGTATGTGCGTGCGTGCGTGCGTGGTGTGTTGAGTGTGTGTTGTGCGTGCGTGTATGTGTCTTACCACAAAGCAGAACTTTCACTATTAAAGCATTATTTCTATACATGATTGAAATAATTTTTTTGATATATATATATATATGTACAATGTAGGGCCTACATGCATGTTGGTCATCGCACAATTTGAAACGTAATCGCTTGCATTAGGATCCCGATGCAACTTTCTGCTCCACTTGGTTCCGACGGGCACAGTCCATGAAAGCAAATTTAAAGGTGGCTAATCGATTAGGATCGAGTGCGTGTTGTGCTAAGTTGTTTCTCTGTAACCAAGTATACTGCCCATCAGACTTCGTAAATTATTAATTTCTCAGAATCTGAAGAATCGTGATGTCCTCCTGCCTTGGCTAATCTGTTATATCAGGAGTAAATAATCTCAAAGGAGTTTGACATGTAAGAAATCGATGGATGGGTCGAGAAGGACTCTTCCATCGCTGATACTTGTTGCAGCTCTCTTAGAAGTCATAAGGCGCGTTCACAACTTCACACGGACGTTTTTATAGCCCGAGCCTAATGGGGCCCGCGCCAAATTTGGCTCGAGCCAGGCGTTCACACATACGGTTTTTCGGGCCGTGCCAATTTGGCACGAGCCAATTTGGTCCCATCGAAAACGTCGGACCAGGCCCGAGCCAAATTTTAGCACCAGCTAAATCGGTTGAGCGGTAGATGTCGCGAGTGTCGAACGTGTATACGTACTTCGACGAAATAAAGTCCAAAACAGTATAAAAATTCGAAAAATTTGATCAGGATGCACGTTTTCAAGATTGATAATTGAACTCAGAACAGAAGTAAACACTGAATCGTACACAACGCCATCTCGCGACATAAGTACTGCCAAAGTATCTGAGATATTTGTGCAATAAAATTTATTTGAATTTGAATTTTGAATTTGACAGACAGTATTCACTTGCGTACGTGTGAACGCTTCGACTCAAATCGGCCCAAGCCAAATTTAGCCCGAGCCAAATTTAGCCCATTTGGCTCGAGCCAAACCATGACCGTGTGAACGCGGTAATAGTTACATGGTTAAATGTAAGCATTAATATAAGCTAAGAAACCTACGAAGTCGGTGGGGGATTACCACTGTATGTGCGTGCAGCCAGTGTGAAGAATTCTGATGACTGAGTGGGTAATATTAGCTGGACTAAAAGAGGTGCCGGGGACCATCAACTGCCAGAAAATTTATATATATAAATTATAATATATATTATATATACAATACATGATACTATATATATGATTATATATCAAAGTTCAGCTGTGTGTGTGTGCGCATGTGTACGTGTATCTGAATGAGATGTGTGTGTGTGTGCGCGTGCGTGCGTGCGTGCGTGTCTCTATGTGTGTGCGTGCGTGTGTGTGTGTGCGTGCGTGTGTGCGTGCGTGCGTGTTTGTGCGTGCGTGTATGTGTTCGTGCGTGTGTCTGGGAGAGGAGAGAGCCGCTTTATATGTTAGGTGCAGTGATGCTCAGACTCGGGAGTCGGGCTTATAAAATCATAGCCACAAACAGACGAACCAATTATGTACGTAATGCTAACTAAAAAATATAGAAATATTACGAAAATGTACAAAAAACGATTGTATTGTGTATGTTGTGCAATGTCTAGACAAGCAATGTGGTACACCCAGCGATCTTTCAGTGAATCGATTCAGTATTGACCACCAGACCTCGTCGTGACAACTGATCTCTATATTATATCAGGAGCTAATAATGACAAAAAAAATTTCATTATTAGCTCCTGATTATATATAATAACCGTAGTAGTTACGACTGTACTAAGATACTAACCGTACTTGGTTTATAGTATCAAGAGCTAATAATACCTTTTACCACCTTAATAATATAAGCACATAAGTAGATTAAGCACCTACTAAGGTATTATTAGCTCTTGTTAGTATATATATAGAGATCAGTGGGTTAATTGTGACGAGTAGAATTGTTCGTCATCCTCATCACCCTTCGTGGAGCAGTGTCGCTCCAGTCCTTATATAGCGATGACGTAAGCATTAATTTCACGTACACTAGCATGGGATTTGCATCTGTCTGGTTTCGATTCCTAAATCGTCTAATATTGTTATTATAAATATAATATGTTCGCGGCAGCGAAGTCGGTGAGATAATACAAAGTTTAAGAGTTCAATAATAGAGATGTCAGTATAATAGAGTCTCTATTTTAGATTCTTGATAATACTTTTAGTAAAACCACTGCGAGCAGTACGTGCTACACTGTATATCGTCAGTATTATAACTTTGCAGTAATTAAGCTGGGTTACCTAATTAACGTAGAGACGTAACCAGCGTTAGACTGCGGCTATAGCAGCTAATTCTGATAATCATGTTATGTTGTAGTTTTAACAATTTTGTTTTTATGTACAACTCGGGAAGGCATATTTGTGACAAATGTACAGGTATGACGTTCAGGGCCAGTCACACTAATTTAAACGAATATAATTATTATACATTTAGACACGTACATAGATATATATATTGGAGATAAGTACTGTATGTTGTAATCGAGTGTGAATTAATATTCCCTTGTAAATTATGCATGCGAGGAAGTGGCCAAGCTCTAATAATTGAATTGCAGGCTGCACAGTAATTAACGACTCTCATTAGAACAGGATAAGTTATTGGCTTATATTGCACTCGAAAAAATTAATGCTGTGATCGAGTTTCGTCTGTGCATGGGCATATAATTGTATGCATAGTGGCGACTGCTGTTCCACTCACACTTGAATCTTGATGCATCTCCCCATATTGCTGCCCATGTCGCTGACCTATCACCGGGGTTAATAATGACAAATTTGTCATTATTAATCACTGCTATCACTGATGATGACAGTATAGGGAAGGTTCGTGAATGAATGCTGGACTGGAAATCAGCGCGGTTACATCTGCGTACAAACTATACACATGCTAATGAGAGACGTGGCAGTCTAAATTGCAAGTCTGCTGTGACAACGAATGACATTTGTGCGTGTGGTGTGGTTTATAACGTGCTAAATAGTAAAATGGTAATTAATACTAATACGCAGCTTTTAATTTTATTATACGTGATCTACATAAAACGTCTGTGTTTCAGGGTGAGTCTAATGTAATCTAGACTACTAATATTTCCAATGATTGCTCGTCTGTTCGTCTATCTAGCTATAAGTGAAGTAACTGTTGGTCCCTGGGGGCTAGACATTTGACCAAGGAGTGTCATGAGATAGGTGCCGTTGACCTCAAAGGTCAGTTGAGGTTACAGGAGGGCAAAACAGTCACGGGAGCAAAACAGTTATTTGTTGCTAAACGAAGCCAGTTAAAGAGTTTGTTTTGAAGTGCATGTTCCTTGACCTCACAAATAGGTGGGTGGATGAGGTCAGATCCGACATCCGAGGTCACTAAAGGTCATAAGAGTTGGCAGAAGGACAAAATTTCAATTTTCAGCCAAACAAAGCGAGATATATAGACCGTGTTATGAGATGTCACTTTTCATTATTACACAGTGGAACTTTCAGGATATATTAAGTGAAGACCATGCCTCCCAGACATTTATGTCTGGGGTTGGCAAGGGGGCGGATGCGTTTATTCTGGGGATCTCCATCATTCCAACAGACCACCTCTTTCAACCCGAACACACTAGGCGATTTTCACTCGCGATTGAGTCGCCCGGTGAAAATCGCCTAACTAACTATAGTGTGTCCAGTGAGTCGCCGGCAATTTTCGTGTCGGGCGACTGAGCTAGTCTCCCGAATCAAACATGTTTGATAAAATCGTGCAATTATTTGAGTCACACGACTACAATCGCCTAGTGTGTCCGGGTCGGCGAATGAGTCACCCGAATGTACAATTAATCAGCCAATCAAACGGTGGCATTTTCAATCATGTGACTATCAATTAATCTAGGTGGCACGAGTGTTTTTTAGTGTTGCAGCGGGAGAAAAATCATCGATGAATTGACTGAAAAATCGCC